TAATCTTAATAAATTGTCAAAGTTCCAGAAGGATACATTCTAATAATTAATTTAAAATTTGGGAAAATCATATAGAAAGTATTGCAATGAGCAGATTAATATAGTATCACCAAAAAATCATGAACGATTCTCTTTAAAACTAATAATTAAAAAATTACGTGGAGCAACATTGTTCAGAAAAATTAAATCATAAAATAAAATTAAATCTGAAACATTCAAGGATACTGTTATTGTAATGGGATGAATTTAACATGATTCTCAAATAGATGATATTTTTTAAGAAGCAATTACTTTTATGCTTCCTCGTCATTTAAGACAATTTTTCGCTTGGTTCTTAATTGCAAAATACATCCAAGGTGATAAAATATAGAATCAATATAAAAAAATTTATACAGAAGGTTTTAATACTGATAAAGATAATTTTACCTTTAACATATAAACAAAATTTTAGACTCAGAAGACAAATCATGTTAATATTTTAACTTACTAGTACTACACAAAAAATTGTTTTAAAGAAAATCACACTTATAAAGTACTATTTTGCAAAACAATGTTTGATTCCATGTATGTGAATTCAAATTTCGATCAGAAGATAAAAGAAAATAATCCGGTAGTAAAAAATATTGTTTAGAAAAAGATCATTCATGGTTTTATAGGGCTCTATAGTATGGTTCGCGAAAATGCATAGTATTTATAGGGCGAGACTTAAACAGTTTCTATCATCTAATAACCATGTAAAATAAGAGCACATAGTATAACAATGTTAAAAACAAAACAAATCAACGTGCCAAGATCTTTATATTTACTAATAAAAATTTTCAACATTATTTCATCAGATATGACAATAAAACTCGTGGAGAGGGCTGCTAAAGGCAAGAAAAATTGTGTAGGGGTTAGTTCAAAGGTATTGAGGGGTGGTGGTAGATCATTTGGAGGGCAGTTGGAGATTCACGTGGAATGCCCACACATTTAACTACATAATTAAGAAAAGCACATGTATAATAATATCCAAATAAAGTAGAATAATTCTATTGCAGCATATGATAGGAATACAGGCAATAAATGTAGACAACCAATCTAATCGTTAAGTTTTGTACCTGTTTAGAATTTTTAGTCAGCTATGTATGCGTATCAACCGCGATGTCCGCAATATTCATTCGTGGCATTTCCATTCTATAATTCTACAATAAAATTTAATTCTAGCCACTCAGCACCAAACAAATATTCGATTCAGTAGATTACAACTAGAAACTTGTACTATACGGTACTTGTACTTTCCATACGGTACTTCAAAAACTTTTATAGTAATACATTTAATGGTAAACATTCACTCATGGCTCTAGAGGCCCTGAAGGGATCAGAAGAGATCTTATGAGGTTCACGAAAAAGCTTGAGTGAGCTTCAAGGTTCATATACATATATATATGACGGCAAAAAGTACCCGTATAGTTTGAAGTTTTTATAGATTACGCGACTCTATCCACATGTTGAAAAGGGCGACTAAAGATATTGTAACAACAGAGATTGTGAGATAAGAGGACAAGCCATCCTCATAAAGTCAACCGACCAAAAAATCTAAGGTGGCTACCAAATAAGTTCAGTAGGGCAACAAAGGTGGCCACTTCAGCACTACTATTTTTTTCCGTCATTGACTCAAATTATATTTCGTTTGCAATAGTATATGCTCTTTCATTTTTAGGTATATCTAACATCAAAAGAAATTTCGTGTCGGTTTGGTCTTCACTATTTCGGCAGCCAACCTCAGACCTATCGTTCACCTGCTCACAATACTATTGTAGACCCACCTTTGGTACTTCACAACGTAACATAACAGTGGAACATGGCATGGATGTCTCTGGAAAATATAACATCTATGCACACGTAAGTTCGTTAATCGCGCTTGACAGCGAAGAATACTCTTGTGCAGCGCATTTATAAAGACCAGGTTTAACATTTTTCTTGTGAAAAGTGTCAATATGATCACCAGTGCATGTACAATAGCGCAAGAAAGACTTTAGCAACAATTTCAAACATCTGCTGAATATGTAAGATATGCCTTGTGACTTACACACCATTGACCCATTGACATATATAGCCCTGCCTGGCTTACCTCAACTACAGTATATATCTAGGCTTCCAATGCATTAATGCAGAAGTAACGATGCTGTCGACTACTAGTACACACTAGAGGCAACTCTAAATTCCCTTATACGACTACTACTATTTTTATACTATAAGTTTATGAAATTTAGTTACTCCAAATATTCGTGTTCTTTTTAATTTTTTTCTTCTTCAAATAGTATGCAAAAAACATGCAATAACATAAACAAAGATAAGTCTCATTTTAAACTATTTATTGATTGTTATGTATTAATTATTTTATCAACTATTTGAGTCTTTGACTTTCACTATTTAATAGGTAGACCCGAGAATTTTTATGTCAGTTTTCACGATTAACGACTTTTATCTACCTTACCTGGGATATGTAGATAAGTAGGGTTGCGTTGCTTTGCTCACGTGCACCAGTCATTTTAATAATGTGCAAAATGTACTTCTATCCTTAGAGATATTGCTTATGTATATATTAGGACTACGAAATATGTAACTTCGAAAAATAATAACTAACTTTGAGCAATTGAAATTTTATTTTTAATTGACAGTCTACCCTAAGGTACTAGTCATAAGCTGCTTACTTCTTTTCGGACAATCTATGTACTCCTAAGTTTAAATGAAATGATTATTCAAGGATAACAATAAATTCAATGACTTCAGTATGAAATTAGAAATGCATGTATTATATATGCATTGGTGACTATCTTCTGCATATATTACCTTACAGATGTTGGTATGCTGTTCCAGTCTCTTGATGGACCCCCCCCTTTTCACCCCTTTTAGGGCGAAAAATTTGTTGTATGTAAAGGACGCCGTTCTTAGCACTGCTTTTCCTCTCACAAAAAATTTTCTCTTGTATTCGACAATTGTTGATAACGTCATTTGAATTTAGAAGAGGATACAGAGAAATATACTTAATGTTTTCAGATACATAAATAATTCAGTACCTGGCATTGAGATCACATTTGAGTTGAAAAAACCTAATATTTTGAACTTTTGGATCTCAAAATAACAAAAATTATCGTATGAATAAAAAAAAAAAATGTACAATTACAGATACCTTGGTTGTGCAGATCTCTACTAGTCTATGAATATTTGAATGATTCTTTGTACACAGACTTTGTCATACCTTTTTTATCAAAGTCATTGTACAGTTTTAAGTTTACCGTATATGTAGGGCAGTGTAAAGAAACAAGTTTCTGGCCGTTATGTGAAAGTATGTGACTGTAAGAGAGAGGATGTATGCTTGATTAGCTACGCACGACTAAAGATATTTAGCCAAGTGTGTGCAGCAAACTACGTAAGCAGTTAATCACCATTCAGACTCGTTTCGAGCTGAATGTGCTCTGCTTTCTCGCTTTTTTCCATTATTCTTGAGTCGTAACACATTGAATCGCTGAATTTTTAGTATACTTTCTTCCTTATTTGTAACCAAAGTTCATCACGATTTTTCTGTTCCATTTTTTATTTAATCAAGTTTGTATCAAAGGCAATATCACGTTTTTCGATCAGACAACTAGTGTATTGGTGTTAAGAAAATAAACATTGTTTCCTCTGTTAAATCAAACATGAAGAGCAGTTAAATATTATTTATTTCTTAAGTCCATTAAGATTCTAAAAGGGCTCAAGTGTTTACCTTCCCCCTTTTTGTAGTTTTGAACGAAACAATTTTGAAAAAAATATAAAGATAAATAGTAAATAATAAAATGAATGATTATTAATAAAAATAGCAAGCAAAACATATTACAAGTTTGCATCTTAATGTAGCGTTGTTTATGGGCGTACGACATCATGGTATCTGTATCAATTGTTGTGGTAACAATTCACATGTATTAAATAAACAAAGATTCATATATCACCGTAAACGTGGTAATTAGGTTGTGTTCTTATTGTAATTTTTTGATTTGGGTGAATAAAAAAGTCAATTCATTCCTTTACAACAAATTTGTTTGCTTTTTTTGCTATTTCAACTATAATGGACAGGCTGATACTAGTGTATGTTTGGCTAATGTCAAAATCTTTTGTGATACAGTGAAAAAGCAGGAATGTTGGAGAAGTAAACTCTGGATAAAAAGTCTAAATCAAATTTTGGTATATCAAGTATAGCTTATCTATGTAGTAAAGTTTTAGTAGTTTGATAAAAGTTCAATCTTATGTAGCACTTGCAGTTCAAAAAGAGGCATTATCTTACTAAACGTAGGTGGATTTATTATACTTAAAATATTTTGAAAGCCAGGGTATAAGATCAGATAATGTCACTTGCATATACAGATGATATCGAGTATAACAGTTTGTGTCAATTTTTTTGTATTTCAAAAAAAATGTAGACCTCTTTATTTATCAATTAATTAAAAAAAGCACATGACACTGTTATTTTTTGAGTTTGCTGCGGTATTTCATGTTTTATCGATCAGTGCCGATAGGTGACCAGAAGCCACAATTATAATTTAGCAATACTAACTGTAACTTAGTTCATAGTTTCTTGTGTTCATAAAATTATGCTAAGTCTCGATAAAAGTATTTATGATGTATGAGCTGTATCTTGAAAGTTGTGTACGTATTAAAAATCAAATTTTTATAATAGCACTCCAGTACTCGTCTAATATTGTGGTGGAAACTAAGTTACTACGAGGCCATGATGTACGATTGCTCCACCTTGAGAACTCTTTAACAGAGTAAACATGGTAAATGGCCACGTAATTAATAAATCTGCGCAAAGTAACTCTAACATATCGTTTCTTTGTATAAGTAGAGGTGATTTTTTAGATATTTAATGATAGAGTCCTAACTCTGCTGTAAAGCACTCAATACAAAAAATAAATACGTATAACACGGAAAACAGAAAAACTAAGACTCTATTATATACTTTTAAATACTGTTTAACGTACCAAGTATAGTGAGAGAGGCATTAATAGAAATTATACCAGCCAGATTTTGTGCTGTACAAGAATAAACTCCGCTGTCAGAAGGCTTGGTATTAACGATAAAAAGAACGTCATCTGTAGGCATTTTATGCATGCGGCGCTCACGTGCAGCTGGAAAATCATTACCACCATCCTTTTGCCATGCAATTTGAGGTGTGGGCGACCCTGTTGCTGAACACTCAAGCCTAGCCGTACTGCCAGCCGTTACACGTATATCTTCTGGCTTCTTCAAAAAAGAGGGATACACTGAAACAAAAAAGGCACGATACAACTTATTGTAACGACGATAAGAGCGTATTCTTATTACTGACATAAGAAATACCTTTCGGTAAAATTAACATTCTATGATTATTGTATTAATTGTTTGTTTTAAAATTTGATAATTGGTATGGTTAACGATTTTCGTACTAAGGCTTAAAAGCTTGTATATTTTTTTTATGAAAAGGACTTCGAAAAATCACCAAGTACTGAAATAAAAGTAGATGGGTACTAATTAGTAAAAATACGTAGTGTATGATTATTTTCATACTAGACGTGGACATATTGTTGTGATTGCTTCAGCATGTCTGGTTGTTTTTAACCCTTGAAACCCTCTAAATCTTGATAAGCAAGACTATTAAACCTAATTCTATTAAACCAAATAATGTATGTAATGAGCTTGTTACCCTCAACATCCTTCACTCTCAGGTTTCAACCTTATAGCCCCTAAGACTTCCTTAAATTCTTGGTTAATTTCATACAGTTTGCCAACTTAGTTTTAACTGTAACATTTACTTTTTTTCCCCGTTATTACTACTGAACTAAAATGTTCAATCCTGCATTCCTCTAACCCAACATAAAAACTCCAACAAACCCAACATCGCAGGATTCCAAACTAATCACATCTTCGTAAAGCAAAGTAGCACCTGAGCCTATATTTTTATTCTTAAAGCACCTTACTTTCAACCTTAAGTTCAGTGTATTAGTTGGAGTTTTTACTTTATTGACTACCACACTTTAGTTAATTTTGTATTATTTATCAGTTAGAAAGTTGTTTTTACGTATAATAACGAGAAGATCTGCCAAGCAGGTATTTGTTAGGATCGGACTTATTCAGAGTAAGGTCCTAACTGTTTTATTTAAGTGTCATTCGTGGGGTTCTTAGAATTCAGCTTGTGAGCTTTATTTGTTCTTTTATTTTTTTTATTGAATAATGATCTTTAATTAAATAATATGGGTAATTAATGTATTTCTTTATTGAAGCAATTTAATAATAATTAGTTCTTTTAAATACAATTTAATCAGGTCACTATAATAAGGTTCAACGTAAATTTTATTACTGATATTTTACTTACATCTATCACTGACTATTATTGCTGCTTCGGAAATTCCTAATGCTTTGTGCTGTAACCGTCAGTATTTCCTTAAACTACACGAACGAGTTCGTGTCCAGTAGGATGTTGCGATTTCTGCTTCTGCTGCTATCACCAGAATCACTTTCGGCGGGCCTCCTTTGCTGTACCTCGCTCCTTAGCGTAGTCCGATACTTTTGATGTTCTCGATACGCACTTGAGTGGCCTCAGCCAACACGTTATGCCTTACGTGTATAAGGTACTCACAAGTCGCGAGAGTCAAGAGTTGACTAAAACTTTAGAGGACAGGTGACAGACGTAAAGAGAGCACTTTTTCCTCTTAATGGTGCGTTTTCATAGCATCAGAGCGAGTAAAAGAGGCCTTNTGCATACATTTTGTATGTAGTCAATAATACTGGTCAAAGAGAACCCTTTTTCCTCTTAATGGTGCGTTTTCATAGCATCAGAGCGAGTAAAAGAGGCCTTTGGTTGAATAAGGTTAACCAATAAGCGATGTTCTTGCAGACTGCGTTGACAGTTGCATCATGATGTTACATGTTATGATTTTACATATTAGGGAATAACAATACAATAGTACCAATAGCATTTTCTGACAAGTGCGATTGAGTTTTGGGTCAGTGATGATGAAAGCTCGTATCAGCAATATAAGAACGCCAATTACAAGTTTAATTGTGACAGTAAGTTTACAATTTCGAAATTAATCCTTCTGAGGATTTTACAATCAATGAAGTAATGTGTGAGTTACAAAATTTTAATTAGTATACATATCAAAATTAAACAATTAATGAGCAAGTAACTAATCATTCATACATTCATGTATTTTTACAATGAGGCTGGCCGTATTCTATGTCAGCATATTATGAAGCATTCACTTTAAAGCTAATACACACATGCGCACACATAAACGACATACAAGCTCCTCTTGTCATATTCACAATACGTCTTATCTGAATTTTGATGGACGTATAGTTTTTAGTTATAATATAATTCGTATCAACTCGGGATGTAACAGTATTATTTCAGATTTCTTCCGTATGATTAATCGACTAAAAAAAAATCCTTTCCTGTATTATTTATTCTAATCTTGATTCATATTCACCTCGTGATCACCGCTCCTCCTGATTCCAATACCAAACTTACAACTTAAGATACTACTAAGAAGGGCGTGATTTCGACTCTCGTATCATGTAATGATGTCAAACAGGGGAACAAAAAATGTATAATTGTAAATGGGCTAATTAAGCGGTAAACAGAATCTTGGATCACAATGAATTTTTAGGCCCAAGACAGCTAATGAGCAATGAATCGTAATCGAAGCCACCAAAAATACATACACCTATCTTGTTTGAATATAACCATAACTTGACAAACGTAACCACTTAACTAAACACACGGCACATGTAACGGCGGGCGGCGCACTCGACAGACAGGACTCACAGGCTCAAAATCACGGAAACGCGACTGACTATATTCCGAGATCAATTATGCATAAGAAAATAATAACATTTTTTTATACAAGTCAGCTGGATCCGGGAACACTGTTCGGTTGTATCAATTAAGCAAGCAGGAATTCACACCCGCTCTCCTCAATTTCACCCTAGGGCGTCAAGAGCCTCCTTGCGAATAGAGGGATTGTTACTCACAATTCTCTCGCATTTGACGATCAAGCACTTGACCCCTGAGGATCTTCAGAAAGAACCTTTTAATAGTCCCACAGGAGCAAACACTATACTTATCATTTTCGTCGCATCTATGCATTAAACCTCAAAATCCCAGAACAGGTGACGCTGTTTATCGGGATGAACACGCACCTCTTACGAGGGCACCACACTCATGTATCGCAACAAGAAACTACCTCATACTAGTAATAATAACTTTCAACTTACTATTAACAAAAAAAATGAGAAGACCCACGTTCTTTTAATAATTTTAGAAGTCCTATGCGAATTTCAGATCATTTTAAACATTACTTATTGAGAAAAGTTACATTTCACATGAAAAATAAATAAATTCTTTTTAACTATTGCAAAAAGTAACTTTTCTTAATCGATTCGCAATTACTTATAGCACCAACGTTGCGGGTCTTTTCGTTGTTTCACATAAAAATAAATATTTAATTAATTATTTACAGAAATTTACAAAAGTAAAGTAGTCAATAAAGTAGGAACTCAGCTGATATACTAAATGACTGTAGGAATTGAAATATTTAAGTAACGAAAGATTTTTAAAATACTCAAACCAAATAAAAAAAATCTCTCAACTAAATTAATACTACATCTTGACTTTGTTACCACATGGACTCTTAAACTAACGTTTTTAAGCTTAAAGATCTATCAATAAAGTGTATATCTACGGTAAAATGGTGATGAAATGAAAAAAACTTAAGTTATAGGAATTACCAAGTAGATACAGTTTGATGGAGAGGTCGATATAATTGAACGATCTGCGACATTTACTACGTTAAAATAAAAAAAAATATGGAAGAAACCAAGTAGGTAAATTCAGGTGAAGTAGCTTATTGAGTTCAAAATATTGCGGTACTAAGTAAAGTAGTGATTTGATATTATGTTAGAGGGTTATACGGTTGAAACCTTAGAGTGAAGTGTCATGATAAAAATTGTTTTCTAAATACTTCATTTTAGTTTTTTAGACGCTTGGGTAATCAACATTATCTTATAGCAATTTTAAGGATTTTTTTTTGTCAGCTCACAGCCAAACACACTGAAACCTTTTTAGCACCAGACCCTTAGTTAGCATAAAAATATTGTACTTATAGAATGTACTTCATTAATAGGAAACCCTTTAATTTTCTTAATAAATAATGAATACATTTTTTTCAAGTGCGTCAGGAATTCTTGGACTATCTAAGACTCTCAGAATGAACCAGCAATCTTGTGATACATCAAATATTCGGTCGTTAAAGAGATGGCATCTCTATAAATTATACAGTTTTTCATAAACATTAGTCTTGCAGTTAACCTCACTTGAAAAATAATAATGTACTTTATTGCTCCAACTGGTTACAAGTTAAAAAATGAGATTTTTAAAATCTTATTCGCTATCGCACTGAAGAAAAATTAAAAGGCAAGGTAGAAGGCTAAAGTATTCCAGGCACTGAATGGTTCTTAGAGACAGACTTAGACCTTAAATTAAAAATAGTTTGTGATAAACTCGTTAGTATTTAGATAAATATGAATATATGATAGACATATGTACATATGGATCCAAGGGACCCAGATGACAAGTGTCCGTGTCTGGAATTGTAAAATACGTTTATTCTTCGAAGGAAAAATCCAACTTTAGTAAAGTATTTAGATATTCTATATAATCGGTCGTCACTTAATGAAGATCCATATCAGATTAAATGGAAAAGTAGACTCATTAAGTACAGTCGATCTTCACTTTATTCGTTAAAAACGTGTTACAGCTGTTTTGGTATCACAGTACCTTCGTCAGACGAATGTACATCAAGACTTAATAATATTATACAGCGTTCTATCAAGAACATACACGCTGCACCGTGGTCGACAATCAGATAACAGGGGCTATATACATACATATATTCATACATTTTCATACGTAAACACACAAATGCATACATTTTGTATGTAGTCAATAATACTGGTCATTTCAAAGCTAAATTAAGTAGAGGCGAATTATTCAAATTTAACATATCATTCAATAAGATATTAGAGTCTTTTAATTTATTAATTTCTAGTGCTTCTAATGCATCTAATTTTAATCCTTTGTTACATGTGTGTAAAATCTTAAAATTGTTATTGTAAATATGATTACATTTAAGAATGTGATTGGCATAACTAGAAGTATCTAGTTGTTTTTCGTAGGCATTTTCGTGTTCCTTGAGTCTGAACTTGAAAGCTCTACCTGTCTGTC